ACCTGGAGGATTCATTGCAAAGAGGCAATCACCAAGACACACAGTTATCAGATTGGCCAAAGTCAACATGAAGGAGGAACTCCTGTGAGCTGTGAGGCAAACCCATCAAGTAACTTACAAAGGAAAACCCATCAGGCTAACTGTGGACTTCTCAACAGAGACCTAACAAGCCAGAAGGGATTTGGGCTCTATCTTCAGTCTTCTTAAACAGAACAACTGCCAGCCTAGAATTTTGTATCCTGAAAAATTAAGTTTCATATGTGAAGGAGAAATGAAGACTTTTCCAGATATGCAAATACTGAGGGAATTTGTCAAAACCAGACATACCTTGCAGGAAATACTCAGAACTGCATTATGCATGGATCAGCACAATAGACACACACTAGTGTAAAACCACCCAAAAGCTAACGCTCAGAGCTCATATAAAACCATAACAGAAGAGGTAAAATAAAGCAATAAGGCACTACCCAACAGGATGAACAGAACAGCATTCCACATATCAATTCTATCAATCAATGTGAATGGTCTGAATGCCCCACTCAAGAGATTTAGGCTGGCTGAATGGATGAAAAAATACAACCCAATTATTTGCTGTCTCCAAGAAACACATCTAGCACACAAGGACTCATACTGATTCAAGGTGAAGGGATGGAAAAAAATACTCCATGCAAACACAAACCAAAAGAAAGCAGGTCTGGCCATTCTCATATCAGATAAAGTTGACTTTTTAAATCAATAATAGTAAATAAAAACAAAGATGGTCATTATATAATGGTAAAGGGAACAATTTAGCAAGAAGTCATAACATTCCTAAATATTTTTGTATCTAACACAGAGCACCCAGATTCATAAATCAAATTCTATTAGATCTAAGCAAAGAGATAAACAGCAGCATCATAATTGCCAGGGACTTCAACATCCCCCTGACAGAAAAGAAAAAGAGAAAAAATAATAAATAAAATAACCAAAAACAAAAACACCCCACTGAGAGAACTGGACAGATCACCTAAGCATAAAATAAATAAATAAACACTGGACTTAAACAAGATTCTAGAACAAATGTTTCTAACAGAACATTTACCCCCAAACCACTAAATATATATTCTACTCATCAGCACATGGAACATTCTCCAAGATTGATCTTCTCTTAGGCCACAAAACAATGTTTTAACAAAGTCAAAAAAATAGAAATCATACCATGTATCTTCTCAGACCACAGTGAAATAAAAACTGTAAATCAGCTCCAAGAGAAACACTCAATTCTACATAAAGTCATGAGAATTAAACAACCTGCTGCGGAACAATTATTGAGTCAATAATGAAATTAAGATAGAAATCAAAAGATTGCTTTGAACCAAATGACAAAGGAGATACAAACTATCAAAATCTATGGGATTCAGCAAAAGCAGTCCTAAGGGAAAAATTCATAGTCTTAAAAGCCTACATCAAAAAGACCAAAATATTACAAATTAACAACCTAATGACACATCTCAAGGAGCTAGAAAAGGAAAAACAAACCAAACATAAAGCCAGCAGAAGAAAAGAAATAACTAAAGTCAGAGCAGAACTAAACAAAATGGAAAACAAACAAAAAAAAAAAATACAAAGAATCAATGAAACAGAAAGTTGGTTCTTTGAAACAATAAACAAAACTGATAGACCTCTTGCTAGATCAACCAACAATAAAAGAGAAAGGACCCAAATTAGCTCAGTCAGAAATGAAAAAAGGAGATAGTACAACTAATACCACAGAAATACAAAGTATCATCTATGAATATTATGAAAATCCTCAAAAACATAGAGGAAATGGACAAATTCTCAGAAACACGTAACCTCCCAAGACTCAGTCAAGAAGAAACAGAACTCCTGAACAGACTAATAATGAGCAGTGAGGTTGAAGCAGTAGTAAAAAAATCTTCCAACAAAAAAAGGCCCTGGACCAGATGGATTCATAGCTGAATTTTACCAGACCTACAAAGAAGAGCTGGTACCCATACTGCAGAAATTATCCCATAACATCAAGAAAGAGGGAATCCTCCGTAATTCATTCTAGGAATTATTTGATACCCAAAGCCAGGAAAGGATACAACGACAACAATGAAAACTACAGGCCTATATCCCTTGTGAATATAGAGGCAAAATTCCTCAATAAAATACTAGCAAACTGAATTCAACAGCACATAAAGATAATAATAATAATAATTATAATCCACCATGGTCAAGTGGGCTTCATCCCAGGAATGCAGGGATAGTTCAACAAACATAAATCAATAAATGCAATTCACCACATAAAAAACAGCAAAAACAAAGACCATATGATCATCTCAATAGATGCAGAAAAAGCATTCAAAAAATTCCCCTTTCATGATAAAAACCCTCAACAAACTGGGCATAGAAAAACATATCTCAAATTTATAAAAGCCATATATGACAAACCCATAGCTAATATCATCCTGAATGGGGAAACATTGAAAGCATTCCCACTAACAACTGGATCAAGACAAGGGTGCCCATTGTTACCACTTCTATTCAACATAGTGCTAGAAGCCCTAGCCAGAGCAATCAGTCAAGAGAAAGAAAAAAAGGATATCCAAATCGATAAAAAGGAGGTCAAACTATCACCTTTTGCTTATGATATGATCTTATATCTAGAAAATCCCAAAGACTCTGCCAAGAGACTCCTGGAATTGATAAATAAATTCAGCAAAGTCTCAGTTTACAAAATCAATGTACACAAATCAGTAGCATTCCTATACACCAATAACAGTCAAGTTGAGAGTCAAATCAAAGACTCAATACCTTTCACAATTGCTACAAAGAAAATAAAATACCTGGGAATATACTTAACCAAGGAGGTGAAAGATCTACAAAGAGAACTATGAAACACTGAGGAAAGAAATCGCAGATGACACAAACAAATGGAAAAACATATCCTGCTCATGGATCCGTACAATAACATTGTTAAAATGTTCATACTACTCAAAGTGATTTACAGATTCAGTGCAATCCCCATCAAAATACCAACATATTTCACAGATCTAGGAAAAACAATTCTATGCTTTATTTGGAACCAGAAAAGAGTCCGAAAAGCCAAAGCAATGTTAAGCAAAAACATACACGTATGTGTATTTACAAACAAGACAGATGTTCACAGGATTCATCTGAAAGGGTTTTCATGTTCATGTGATATCAGAAGATCTGACCTCATTAAGAATCCATAATTATGCATACTGTGCATGTTTCAAAAAAAGAAATACCATCCAAAATGCCTCATCGAATAAATATCTTAGATGAGTTCTTCCTTATGAAAGGAACAAGCTGGCCTCATGTGAAGTGTAGCCCACATTATTACATGTGAAGTTAATATTAATGTGCTGAAGACAAGAGATGTGGTCTGTTGAATGACTTCTGGAATTCAATATGACAATCTTAAGCACTGACAAATTTTTTGACTCATCTAATGGCTTTTCTAACATCCCATCTTTTATACTTTCAAGATGTATACATCAGTTATTGACAGCATTATCAAAATGACAAAATGTCATACTATTTCATTATATAGATGCCACATAAAAAAGATACGCGATCTACTTATTCAAAAATACCACTAGAATAAGCAGGCATTAGTCTGAGTCTGAAGAATAGAAACATGAACCTAGGGACAAATGAAGGGGTAATTTCTGTGGACGTCTAACTCAATCTTTAGTATAAAACAATGAGAGGTCAGCTGAGTAACTCGAGGAGGCCCGTATGACTTATGAGCTAATAGAATGAACTATAAAAAAATAATAAAATTTCTGTGATTTTGTTATTGCAATGTTTATATAGGAGTCAAACATTAAATTAAGTAGTCAGAAATTACATATAAGTAATACCTTAAAAATTACCACTTATTTTCTAGAACATTAATGAATGAATACTTCTTTATTTGAGAACATTTTATATACAGAAGTGATTCCAAATTTTCTTATCCTAATTGGTAAAGAAATATGCCTGCAGAACAAAAAATGTGTATACACTTTGATCCAGTAATTGTACTTCTAAGGAAGTATCCTAAGAAATTAGAGAGGCACTGAAAATTATTAAACAAGGATATCTATTACTGTATTATACTAGTGAATAATTAGAAATAAACTAGGTGTCAACAATGGGAAAAGAGTAAAACAAATATCAAATTAAGAAACACAAATAAAATATTCAAAATATTAAGAGTGGTTAAGTCTGAGGCCGGGCCGGGTGGCTCACGCCAGTAATCCTAGCACTCTGGGAGGCTGAGGCTGGAAAATCGATCAAAGTCAGGAGTTTGAGACCAGCCTGAGCAAGAGGGAGACCCCATCTCTACTATAAATAGAAAGAAATTAATTGGCCAACTAAAAATATATAGAAACATTAGCCGGCATGTGGCACATGCCTGTAGTCCAGCTACTCGGAAGGCTGAGGCAGAGGATCGCTTGAGCCCAGGAGTTTGAGGTTGCTGTGAGCTAGGCTGACGCCAGGCACTCACTCTAGCCTGGGCAACAGAGTGAGACTCTGTCTCAAAAAAAAACAAAGAGTGGTTAAGTCTGGACATCTCTGGGTTTATCTCTGATTATTCATAGAATCCCAGTGATTTTATTTCCCTTTTACCTTTTTAATTTTTACCATATGAACGTTATTATATAATCAGAAAGACATTATAAACGAAGGTTTCTACCTACCCTCAGGCTGGCTCTTGTGTATTCCTCTATGGTATTTCCATTTAAGGACTTAAAATGCACACATAGTGGCTCAGATGCCCTCAAGTGAGGTGTGTCCTTGGGGACAGCCACCCAACACTTTGTCATATACGTCTGAGTAGGAAACCCAAGAGCTTGCTTTGTGGTCCTTTACAATGGACAACCAGTTTGGAAGGGGGCAGGGGAAGGTTAAGGCCAAACTCTCTGAGGAAGAAATCAGCCTGCAGAGAGGATGTAGTTGCCAGTCCTGCCAAAAAATCCTTCTTGTCATCATTGTCCTTGCAGTGCTGAAGAAATGGCTGTCATACCCGCAAATCTAAATGACGAGATGTCTCTGCAGATGAAGACAGATTGGAAGGAACAACAGGTGACTGAGAAAAATAATGGCATTCTCCAAAACCTCAACGGGGCGGAAGGTGCAATGCAGAAGTAAGTCGGCGTGGAGCTCGCAGGAGTGGTTTCTCGAGAGTCCCGACTGGAGACTTCCTCGGGCCAGGGGATACAAATGATGAGGTTTCCAAGTTCAGGGTATGGGTTGACAGTCTTCCCTACAGTTGATCTACTTTTAGTCTCATGAACATTTACTGCAGTGGGCCTTATGAGACGCTAGAAGGGGACACTACAATCACAAACTAGGCAGATGCCAGTTAAAAAGAAATTGTTGAGACTTGTCAATTGGGACAATATGTTGTTTTGTGGCCTCATTATCTCCACTTGCTAAAGATAGAACCCATTTTAAATACTTGCTGGAGTAGAGGCAGTACAAACAGTCATATAAATGCATATATGCAATTGTTAGTATGTGATAAATATATGTGCCAAAATATAGACCAATAATCTTTTTGAATAGGAAAAATATTTTTAAAGATTTTCCAAGAACCCCTCGTATGTCAAGAAAGCTATTATTATATCAGAGATGTGCTTAACCCTTTGCACTCAGATGTCGAGTATGACTCGACAAGGTTAGCAAAAATTATAGAGATTAAAATTACTCTTTGAATGTATCAATAATTTGAAATATTAAAAAAAATCCAAATAAATACGTTTGTATGAAAAGAAACTCCAGTTTTTTTTATTCTACTGCCGCGCTTTGTAAAATCTGGAGTATTTAAAAAATTAAATCCCGAGTAGAATAAAGGAATCGAGAAAAAAGCAAGCGAGTGCAAAGGGTTAAATGTATTCATAATTTGTTAAAGACAGTAGCATATGCATTTGGAAACTTTGGGCAGTGTTTACTCACACAAGCAATATTTAGTCAGTCTATAGAAATGTATATAGATTCCGGGATCCCTTCCTATGCAGGATAGATGTGGAGTGACTGCCCCTACTACACAACCTCCAAACTCAGGGTCCAAGGCCCACAGACTGGGAGCCACTGCTATAGACCCACATCACACATTTACTGTGATTCACTCAAAAGTATATGAGAGAAAGTGTGCGTCTGTGTATACATATATGCACTCCAGCAAAATTACACCAGTCAAATAGGGAATGAGTGAAGGACATCAACACGATTATTACAGAAAAGGAAATACAAATGAATTTTATACATATAGGCAAAGATACTCAACCTTACACATGACATGAGACTAACACTAAACTGAGATACCTGTTTAAATGTACCAGATTGGCAAAGATCGAACACTTTAATAATTTTTGTTTCTAGAAAATGAATGGGAAAATAGGCACTCTCATCATTTTTACTGGGAGTATAAATTGATTCAAACTCTTTGAAGCAAACTTTAGGGAAAAAAAAATCTATCAAAATTTAGAATACACATTTCTATTGACCTAACAATTCTACTTTTAGGGTTATCTAATAAATATATATATACTTGTGCACATACACAACAATAACATGTTCATGCATAAGGATGTTCACTCCAGCATTGTTTATAGTAACAAATGATTAGAAACATTCTATATATTCATTAATAAAAAAACTGGTTGGAAGATTATCATGCAGCCGCACAATGGAATACCACATAACCAGTTTAAAAATGAGGCAGCTCTGTATTTACTAATGTGAAATAGACGCCAAGATATGTTGTTAAAAAAGAAATCCAAAGTGCAGAATAGAACATATAACTAGCCTCCCATTTATGTTTTAAAAGGTACATACTGTATACATATACAAACCTACATATATATAAACATATCTGCTTATTTATGCATAGAATCTCTATGGAAAAATAAAGAAACCAGTAAACATTGTGGGAAGGACAGTGTAGGCTAGAAATCAAGAGGCATTATAGACTTACTCTGCCTAGTACTCTGCCCAGAGTCATGTGGCATTTTAAACTCTACTTTTTAAAACAGGATATTAATTTATGTATTTATTTTGCACACGCATTTATATGTACACATGCACACGGCTGTAATAACTTTGGAATTTGGAATCTGGCTGTTCAATAATTGATGGATTCAGCGGAAACTTATTTCTCCAGCTGCCTCTATTCTGATTTTGTGCCATACACTTTGTGGGGCGTTACACAGAATGAGCTCAGGACGTGGATCGCAGGGGCTCCTTGGGGCTGGGAAACATCTCAGAGTTCTCTCTTTAGAAACACGTAAGGCAGGCCCATGTGCTGGCCCTGTAATAACAGGCTCTGTTTGGATTGTGTGGCTTGCAGTTTGCTAAAGGAAATTACCAAAATAAACCACGTCTTGGACATATCAGATGATGAGGACGACAGTTTCTCTGAAAACCCTCAAAATGACTTCCCGCACAAGGTGGACACGAAAACATGGGTAAGGGAGACACCTAAATGTCACGGTGGGTGAAGAGAGGAACTTCACGTTTCATATTTCAAAGGGGTAAGAAAATGTCTGAGGGTTTCCTCCTAACAGGTACAGAACTTCAGAGCTTAAAACCAGGAGGGAGGCGGAGGATGGCGTTGTTTCCACTGGATGCTGCTGTTATAATCTCAGGGACTTACTAGCCTTCCCATGCAAAAAAACAAAACAAAAAAAACCCCAGTGCATTATATGTTATTATTATTTTTTTTTTGTCTTTGGGGATTTCCGAAATAACTGTGACATTTTTTAACTTTAAAGCAAATCATCACATGTAAAATCATCCCCTGCTAGCACATTGTCTTCCAGTGGAATTCATCTGTTTACCCTTAATCTGTCTCTTGGGGAGAATCCTTCCTCTTCCAGCTCCTGGAGCTCCAGGCTCCACCGGCTTGTGGCTGCATAACTCCAGCCTCTGCCTCTGTCCTCACAGAGTCTTCTCTGTGTCTGTCTTTTCCTCTTCTGTCTCTCATTAGGATATTCATCATTGAATTAAGAACCCATCCTAGTAATCTAAGATGATCGTAACTCAGGATCCTTAACTTAATTTACATCCGCAGAGACTTTTTTGTTTTCAAATATCATGATGTACACAGGGACCTAGTACTGTATCAAGATACAGGCATATCTTTTTGGAGGCCACCCTCTACATTCTGTGGACCTTGGGCAAATCACTAAAAATGAGTGGCTGAGAGATTTCCATACCTGCCTTTATCCTACTGAGGTCTATCATGAGAATGAAAAGAAGTAATGCACATGAAAGCAATTTGTAAAGAGTTATGTAAATGTTAGTTGTGCCTATTGTCTTGGCCAGTAGTTTATGCAGACGTTTCAAAAAGAAACTGATCCTGTTCTCCCAACTCCAAACTTTTCTCCTTCTAGTTTAAAAATAGTTTTGCTGAAACACAGGAATTTCAGACCAAACTTCTTCAAAGGACAGAGGAAATATTTCACAGTGTAGTTACCAAAGAAGAGAAATGTTCGAAGATAAATCATTGTCAATTTTCACATGCATAGAATTGAAATACTGGAAAATGCCTTGAATGTTTTTCTAGAACAAGGCAAAGAATAAAGAAACAAATTTTGTTGGTCAAACTCATGGAGTTGGCTTTTCTCCCAAACTCTTTAATATGAAAAAACATAAATAAAAAGAGAACGTAATAGAATTATACAATGGTCAACCATATTCCCACACCTAGATTTCAAAATATTTAACATTTATCACATTAGCTTTATCTCTATGTATATAAAATAGATAGAATTTTCTGAACCATTTAAAAGTAGGTCAAAGGCACTTCATCCCTGTTTACTTCCTAAAGCGTCTCTAAAAATAAAGACTTTATTCTATATAACCAAAATACTTTCACGTTTAGGAAAATGAGCAACAGTTACATAATATGATCTAATGTCCTCAATTCTCTAAATATTCTAATTTCTTCAGTTTCCCCCCCAATGTCTTTTATAATCATAGTTTTAAACCAGCATCCAAACAAGATCTATACAATTTATTCAATTGTGATAGCTCTTTGAACTCTCTTAATATAGAATAGTCCCACCAACTTTTCTTTCCCATGACATTGATTTTTTTTTTTTTTTTAAGAGACCAGTCATCTTATTTGGGTGGAGTTTGAGAGTCCACAGTCAGGTGGATTTCTATCACTTGTTGGCAATGGAAAGAGCTGTGCATGTGGACATTGATGTTCCACATGTCCCTGTCCCGGCCTTCCCCTGTAAACAGAGCAGAAGGGCGTGAGTGCTCCTCTTACAAATGCATCAGAAAGCTCCAGTCTCAGAGAGGACTTTGTGCCTGCCCCCAGAGAAGGGGGATCGGGTTGGGCTAGATGAACTGCCACCTCTTGTGATAACCCCCTTTTGTTCTGCTTTGCTTCCTTCATCAGGATACTTCGGAGCTGGAGTCTGAGTACGGCCAGGACCCTCAGAGCGATGAACAGGATGAGCAAGAAGCAGATACTGTTCGTGAGGACGCTCAAGAGTCCACATCTGTGCCGTTTTCAGAGGAGAACACCCCTGAATTGTAAGCCTTGACACGTGCAAGGGAGAGCATTTCATAATGTCGTGTGGAGGGAAGAATGAAATTTAAGCAGCGAACTTAGGGAAAGCCTGGAATATTTAAAACCCATATTTCTTGAACCGTAAAGCACCTATGTGCACATGTAACTACGTGTTCCAGCCAGAAAGCAAAGTAGGGGCGTTTCTAAGGATGTAGACGGAGCACGGTGTTCTCTTTGCAAAGTTTTATTTGGAACTTGGAATTAATACATATATTAACACTCTCAGATAATTTTCTAGATACGAAGATCATAATTATCATTAGAAGTATATTGTAAGGCCAGGCGCGGTGGCTCACATCTGGGATCCTAGCACTTTGGGAGGCCGAGGCAGGAGGATTACTTGACCCCAAGAGTTTAAGACTAGCCTGGGCAAGAGCGAGACCCCGTCTCTACAAAAAACTAGAAAAATTAGCCAGCCATAGTGGTGCATGCCTGTAGTCCCAGCTGATTGGGAGGCTGAGGCAGGAGCATCGCTTGAGCTTGGGATTTTGAGATTGCAGTGAGGTATAATGATGCCACTGCACTCTAGCTCTCTAGCACAGGGGACAGAGTAAGGCCCTGTTTCAAAAAAAAAAGTATATATATTGTCAAGCCTTTGTGGATCCTTTCCCTATTGTCTACCTCACCCACCATGATGTAACCACTATCCTGATATCAATATTTAACATTTATTCCATGCAGGGAACTTAAAAATATATCATTTTTTTTACCACATAAAGAATATGCTTTATTTTATCCAGCCTTTTAAAGATCTGTTAAAGTAGATATCAAATAAATGCGATCCTTTCTCCTCAGGGCCTAAGTGCCCATTGGTCCATTTGGTGATAAGAAATGACTAAACACTCTGGGAGGCTGAGGCGGGTGGATTGCTCAAAGGTCAGGAGTTCAAAACCAGCCTGAGCAAGAGCGAGACCCCATCTCTACTAAAAACAGAAAGAAATTAATTGGACAACTAAAAATATATAGAAAAAATTAGCCAGGCATGGTGGCACATGCCTGTAGTCTCAGCTACTTGGGAGGCTGAGGCAGAAGGATTACTTGAGCCCAGGAATTTGAGGTTGTTGTGAGCTAGGCTGATGCCACGGCACTCTAGCCCAGACAACAGAGTGAGACCCTGTCCAAAAAAAAAAAGAAAAAAAAGAAAAAGAAATGACTAAACAGGCCAATTTGTTTTCAAAGGAAGAAAGCTTCAGGCTATGTGAGATGTTTCCCATTTTCTATCTTGAAACTGATCCTAACATTTCTGCAGGTGTCAGGAGACCATGTTCTTCAGGCTAAACTGCTGGAATACAAAGATGAACTTGCAAGTGCAAGAACCTGGAGCTGATCATATAGGTTGGATGGACAAAATTAACAATATTATACAAAAAATAAATGTAACAGAAAGCACAGTGAAGAGGTAATTGTAGAGTGCTGGGGTTGGTCAGAAAATAGTGGAAAGTTTCATAGCTTCAAAAACTTAAGAAACTCTGAGTTTAGGGAGATAAAGCCTTTAGAATAAGGATTATAAGGTCCTATGATTAGAAGTCAAATGTCATAAAATCTCAAAGCTTAAAATTACTTGCATCTTTGCTCTTTCTTAAGGATTTCTCTCATACGCTCCTTTTCTGCATCTCTGTTATAGTAGCTATCAAAGGGAAGTCTTTGGGTCACCAATAACTTGAGGGTTATTCATTATTGTCCAAACCAACGAGCAGGGCACGGGGGAAAAAAATGTAAAGTATGTTTGCTAATGTGTCTCTCAAATTTAAGTGGAAAGCTTTAAGGTGAAACAAAAAAGATAAAATTAATTGTTAGTTAATCTAGTCACTGGTATAAAGAGAGTGGACTTTGGAGTCAGAGGGCCCCAGGTTTGATTCTAGACACTGAGATTGCTTGGATAAATTAATTAACCATTTTTAAGCCTTGATTTTCCTCTCCTATAAAGAGAAACAAACAACAGCCACCTCACTGGTTTATTGTGGGGATTCAATAAAATTATGTATGCAAAGACACTAACACAGGGCCTAGTACATGATAAACAATTAATAAATGGAAGTTATTCTTAGAAATAAGTACCCCTGGCCTTCTGAACTTTCCTGCCACATCCCAAACTCTTTCCTACTGCAGGGCTACTCTTTTCCTAGCTATTTCTCCACCTTTCAGTAAAAGATCTCCTTCACCTTTCAGCTAAGCACCTCTTCACAAAGGCCCTCGCCTCACCATCCTATCCAAAACAGGCCTTTTTTTTTTTTCTTCCAAAGCATTAACAATATTCTTTTTAAAAAAGATTCTGTGGTTTTATTTATTCAAACCCTATACATTGGCTTTTTTAAATTAAGGAACACTTTATATATGATAAAATTATTTTGTTTAGTGTACAGTTCTACATGTTTTGAAAAATGCATGCAATTGTGTAGGCACCACAGTGAAGATGCAGAACACTTTTGTCCTTCCTGCCCTCCTGTAGCTGACCACTCTCCCCAGGCTGAACTGCTGGCAACCACTGATCTGTTCTCTGTTTCTATCATTTTGTCTTTTCCAGAATGTCTCAAAAATGGGATCATATGGAGTACGTAGTCGTTTGAGTCTGCCTTCTTTCTCTTGGTGTAATGCGTTTGAGAGCCATCCATGTTCTTGCATGTATCATCAATAGTTCCTTTCTTTTTGTTGCTGGATAGTATATAAATAAACCACATTTTATCATTTCACCAACTGAAGAACATTTAGGAATTTTGGCAATTATGAATAAAGACTCCACAAACATTCATGTGTAGGTTTTTGTGTGAGCATACATTTTTATTTCCCTTGGGTAAACAACCAGGAGTAGGAATGCTGGGTCGTATGGTAAATGTATGTTTATGTTTGTAAGAAACAGCCAAATGGTTTCAAAGTGGCTGTGCCATTTTGTTGCATGCCTTCCAACAGTGTATGAGAGTTCCAGTTGCTCTACCTCCTCATCAGCATTTAGTATTACCAACTTTTTTTTTCTTTTTTAACTGTAACCATTCTAATAGGTGTGGTGGATATATCTCATTGTGCTTTCTAATTTTCATTTAGCTAATAACTAATGATGTTGAGTATCTTTTCATGTGCTTATTTTCCATATGTACACCTTCTTTGGTGAAATGTCTTGTTTATATCTTTTGCCCATTTAAAGAATTAGGTTGCTGATCTATTTATTATTGAGTTTTCAGGGTTCTATATATATTCTGGATAAAAGTCCAGATATTCAGTGTGTGATTTGCAAATATTTTCTCCTAGTTTGTGACTTG